AATGGGCAAAAGATTTAAACAGACATTTTACCAAAAAAGGTCTGTAGAGGTGTAGATGACAAGTTGGCATATGCATAATTTAGCAATGTTATTTATTATTAGAGAAAGGCAAATTAAAATCGTGATGAGATGCCATTGCGTGTCTTTAGAATGGCTAAAATTAGAAAGATAACATACCAAGCATTCAAAACAACTGAAACTCTTCTACACTGATGGTGTTAATAAAAGTGATACAATCACTTTGGAAAGCTTTTGGTGGTTTTTAAAGTGCTAAATATACACTAGTGAACACATCAAGTGTTTCACTCCCAGACATTAATTTAAAATAAATCAAAGCATTTGTGTCTACATAAGCTTGTACACTAATGTTCACAGCAGCTTCATTTATAATTGACAAGATTGATAAAACATCCAAATGTACGTCCAAAAGAGAATAGACAGATTGTCTTATATAGACATGATAAATATTACTCAACAATAAAAATAAATGAGCTTTTGATTCATGTGGTAATATGGAGGAATCTCAAAATAATTGTGCTTAATATAAGATAGTAAAGTGAAAAGTACATAATGTACAATCCATTTATATCAAACTCTAGGAAATGCAAATTAAACTTATCAAAGATAGTCATTGCCTTCCATCGGGCAGTTTGAGGAAGTTGCAGGCAGGAGGTGGAAATAGGGAGAAAACCTTTAGTGTATGGTGCATATGCTTATTTTGTGATTTTGCTGATTTCATAGGTGCATATATGTGTCAAGAGATAAAAATTTGTGTATTTTATATATGTGTAGTTTTCTGCATTTTAAATATATGTTGATAAACTATAAAACCAAAACAAAAATATAAAGGCTCCTTGTTATATCCAGGAATCACAGGGAAGTTAGGGAGCCAGGTCTGGAAAACCAGAAGGGACAAGGAAAGTTTGGCAGCTGAAAGTACAGGCAAGATCACACAGTTAGAGCAATTTGATTCTGAAGCTTGATGCCAGCCACAACCATTGTGTCCTTACACCACTTCCAAATGCCTAGGTCTACTGCCCCTGTGAATAATCTAATAATCTAATCATCTTTTTCGTTTATTTAGCAGGCCTGGGCCAGGTTTGAACCCATCAGCCCTGGTGCATGTGGCTGGTACCCTAAAGACAGAGCTACAGGCTCCCAGCCATAATCTAATGATCTTTGTCTCATTCTGTGGCTGGGGCATGCCACTGGCATGCTGTGATAATATCCCAGGGCCTTCACCCCCAGAAAGCTGGGAGATGGACAGTATCTGCTACCTCTGATTTTGTAGAGGGAGCTGTTACCTTGCCTCTCATGTGTGTTCTTGTTATGAGTAGCCAAGAGGAGAAAAGAGGAAAAAAAATTACTCTCTAGACAATCACATGACTCATAATTTTAGAAGGCACCTCAAATCCTCGGTGTCTCTGACTTGTACAACTTTCTGCGAGATGCATTCCTAGCTCTCTAGTTAGCTAGGGACACAAACTGCCGAGTTCTGACCTCTCTCTTAGTTTACACACTGTGCATTTTCAGTGACAAGGTTTTCTTTCTCAGTTCCCTAGGATGTGTTACTGTAGCGACATAATCTTAGAAGGTATAGGACTAGAATAAACTTTTTAAAAAATGTCTTTTTTCCTAATTCCTTCTGTTCTTGGAAAGAGCCTGCTCACACTTCTCCTTTTCCCAAGTACTATCCTCTGTGCTGGTCCAACTCTCCCTCTAGTGGTAATTTGTTTAGTCTGCTCACAGACCTAGAGTCTCTGCTTCAGGCCAGTGCCAAGGGCTCAACTGCAACTCGGAGTTCACCTAACAAATACAATGTAACCTAATTGTATCTGCCCTTATATTAATCTGAATTTTTTTTAAAGTCTGGATACTATTCACAATAAGAAATACATTTTATATTTCAACACCATTTATGTATACATATGTAACTAAAAAGTTTGTGCAATAAATTGTGGTATTTTCTATTTTATTTGGTTTTCCTTTTATTTAGAAAATTGTGTTATCTATTACCCACTAAATTGATTTAACAACTTCAACCACCAATAAGTTGTAATATGCTTTGAAAAACAACACTCCAACTATTATGAAAACTGTATTAACTTTGTGATCTGTAAATAGTTATTCCAAATAAAGACACATAGACATACACACAAAAACGCCTATAACCAAATGCCTGATGACCTGTAAATATTTTTACTTAATTTTATTTTTATAAAATATCTGTACACAATGACTCAGAAAAATCTTGAAGTAAAAGAACACTGTCTAACTTTTCATAGCTTAGTGGTTACTGAATTTAACCATAGAAGAAATATTTTCAAAACATACACATATAATGAAATTAAACAAGTCTATGAGTAGCTCATGAAATGATTATTCCAAGGAACGAGATTTTGAAAAATTCTGCTTTATACATGAGGTGATAATCCACAAACAAGTACAAATTTCAAAATACATGTAAATTGTAACAAAGATCTATGTCCTTGGTGGACAATGGCCTCCCAGATGTGCATTTTAAAAGCTACTTAGGAAGAACAGGCAACTGTGGTTTGATGGTAAGAGGTCTGGAGGTAAAGACAGGAGAATTCTGCTAAAGCTAAAAGATGTGAATTATGAAGTTATATTTCGGGATTTTAGGAAATAAAGTGCTTTTGTTTAACTAATGCTTATGCAGATGCTCCTTGGACTCACTGTTGCTCTCAAATAGTTTTGTCTTCTGCTATATAGCTGGCAAGTAAAGTCAGAACTAGAGGGTCCCACCAGAGCCCCAAAAGCCTGGCAGGGTCTGCTGGCCCAACTGGGAAAAGGTTTGGTCCAGTCTGATGGCTCATAGGAAATGAATGACAGAAATCCAAATCATAACAGGTTAAATACATAATTCTAGAAACAGATTAGAATTGGGTAAACACATGATAGCCATGAGCATAGGAGCCAGCCGTAAAACTTCTGGAAGACTGAAATACAGTCCGAGGTCAGAGGTAAATATAATGCCTGGAGTACAGTGACAGTATCTAAAGAAGGAAATCTAGGTCAGAAAACAAGCCAAGGCCACCATGAGGGGCTAAGGCAGAAAACAATCTTGTTCTTTGCAGCAGACATGTTCTGTGGTATGTTCCTGGTCCCCTTCTCCAAGAACTGGATCTTACCCACAGATCCTATGTACGAGGCAGATTAGCACCCAGAATAATACCTTGTAATCTAAAACCTGATTAGCCCCATCAGATTGGACTGAAATGCACATCATCCAGCTCTACCTGTGCTAGACAGATATTTTTCTGACAAGGAATTCATCCTCTGAGAATATAAAGTTTTAAATCCCTGGAGAGAAAATTCTGGTAGAACTATAATGAGTTAGCCGTGTTTGATCACACTGCCTGTACCCTGAGGGCAAGTAAACTGATGAGTAACTGAAAGACTACGAACCAGACCCAGGGAAATAAGAGAGAAAAAGAAAGGAGAATATATGTAATCTCACATTCTGACCTTTTTCTTTCTTTTTTCTAGTCCCTCATGAGACTCAGTTATAGCGCATTGAGATAACCTTGTGTTCTTCCAAAAATATCCCCTTTTGCTTAAGTGAGTCAGCCTGCTTGTCAATGTCTTATATCCAAATAACCTTTATTAAGCCAGCCTAAAAAGAAGCCTATATCCTATCTCAGTCAAGACACCTTTGAGGTGTCAGCACCACAGTAGGAGTATAGACTTAGAAAGGAAATTATGGAGAATTCAGACAGTGGATTTAACAGAAATTGTCTCTCACAAATTATACTATGTAGGTTTCAGGAGCTAGCTAATATATGAATTAGATAGGTCGTTCTTACGTTATTCCTCAAGAATTTGGGGGCATTAGTTGTTAGAGATAGAAAATGAGAAATTACAAATATTAGGGGAGGAGGATATTTTTCTCGACTATTTTAGGAGAAACAGAGCTCAGGACGAGCTGGAAGACATTCAGTTATGGTGAGTTAAATGGACAGGATGGATACCAGGAGAGAAGTGGTAGAAACTGTTTCAGACTTAGAGATAGAAAAGATAATGAGAGTTCACCGGAGGAAGAGAATTTATAAAATGATTCAGGACACTAACTATTCATAAGTAAAGGCTATGAATTAAGCAAAATATTCCTTGTGATCAACACCTCAGGTACTTAAGAACTGCCCTAGTTGTAGCGGACAATGCCAATTGATTTGACAGCAGCTATTCTCTTCTACTCTTCATAATTAAACCTCAATTTTGCATGAACATTTCTGCAGTAGGCATCTAAGCTCTTCTTTGAAGGTTTGATGGAATTCTGGTATGAAGCAGAATTCTTTCAAGTCTTCAAAGGCATGTTTTTTGTTGGGAGATTTTTTATTGTTTCTTTGATCACAGTGCTTGAAATTGGTCTGTTCAGGAGATCTATTTCTTCTTGATTAAGTCTAGGGAGAGGGTGTGATTCCAAGTATTGATCCATTTCCTCCACATTGTCAAAGTTCTGGGCACATGCTTTCTTGTAGCATTCAGAGATCACCTCTTTTTATCTCTGTGACATCTGCTGTTCTTTCTCCTTTATCATTTCTGATTGAGGTTATTAGAGATTTTACTTTTCTATTTCTAGTTACTCTGGATAAAGGTTTGTTGATTTTATTTATTTTTCGAAAAACCAACGTTTTGTTTTCATTTTCCTTTAGGCCTATGTGAAACTGAAAAGGTGAGAGCCAATCCCCTACCCCTAACCTCCCAGTCTCCTCCAGAGGGAGTTACTGTGAGAATGGAACACGGCAGCATGTAAGTGTGAACTAATTTTTTATTATTATTCTGAGACCCCAGGCCATGGAACACACAGAAGAATCTGAATGAAGTTGATAAGGAGGGAAGAGAAGGGAAAATCAGAATTGAGGTGCTCAGGTTTGGCAGTTATGTGAAGAATATTCCCTTCCAAGGTGAGTCTTTAACTGGCCCCCTGTCCATGATGAGGTGTGCACCAATCTCAGGCTCCCAGCTTCCCAGTTGTCCTAGTCCTTGAACTTGCAGACATAGGGTAACTTCATATCACATTTATAATCTTTCCACTTTAGAAATCCTAGAGAGACAGAAGACACAAAACATAAGGGTGAGGTGAGTCTGAATTCAAAGAAGAGGCATCTCGGGCTCTAGCCGAGGACATAGAGTCTTGCTCTCATCTTTAGCTAGTGAAGGAGACAAAAAGTAAAGGGGAGTGAAAGAAGATGGGAAAAGACAAACCATTGCATTTCCTAGCTCAAGAGAATTCCCTAAAGGTCAGTCCTAGGAATGGGGGATGGAGGGTGGAAAGGCTGGGAAGGGGTGGCGCCTCTGATTCTCACCTGTGCTTCTGGACAGGCTCCCACAGTATCCAGGATTTGGGTTAGTAGGAGGATTGTTCTCCCAGGCCACGTAGTTGAGCACATCAAAGTTAGCCCATTCCCATCCATCCCCATTTGCCTGAGCGCCCTGCAGAGTAGAGGAGGCATCCAGGTGAGGGGAATAGAACGGCAGCTTTCTCTGCAGGATCCACATAAGCTGTAACAACTGATTCGCTCTCCAGCATCCTGGAACGTGGTCTGTTCCTCCAGATGCTACTCAGAGCCTTCGGCTTTACAAAGCTCCTTTGTAACTACCTGTTCCTACTGGCAAATCCCAGCCAATAACCACAAGGTCTCTGGAACTACTCAAAGGAATGTGTTAGTTACTTCCTGAACAGTAATTGTTGGCACATTTATGATCAGTCTCTGAGCCTCAAAGACAGTGTCTGTTTTATAGGGGACAAAAATTGATCCTTTCTTCATTTAGTATTCTCCCAGAATGGTATGTGCAGACTCCCTGAAGCTCAGAGAGCTGAGTTAAAGACTTCAGGTGAGAACTGTGTAAAGAACTTGATGAGAGGCTGGTTAACTTTGTCTGTAGTGTAGGGACCTCAAAAGGACTCAGGTCTTCAGCTGGTCTCAAGGAATTTCCTCCCCCACCAATATCCCTCAGAATCTGAGCTCTAGTGCTCCTTAGGGTATTTCATGACTTCCTGAACAGGTACAGGGAACAGAGAGGGGGCCTGGGTGACTGTGGCCACCTGAGAGGTAGCAGACAGGGGAGGATACCAGCGCACCTCTGTGGGGTCGTGCAGCCCAATCCAGATGTATGAGTTGCTGTTCCCAGTGCTTCTGACCAGAGAGGACACGAAGGATCCCTCAGATGCACTCAGCACAGACACCAGGTGGCCAGAGGGCTGCTTCTGGCATGCCACCTGTGCAGGGCAGAGAGAGACAGGGAGCCTGAGACCTCACCAGGAGGAGGGTAGGGCAGGGGCAGAGAAGGACTGTCTAAAAGATAGAGGGTTGAGTGGTGCCTGTGGCTCAAAGGAGTAAGGCGCCGGCCCCATATGCTGGAGGTGGTATGTTCAAACACAGCCCTGGCCAAAACACACACACACACACACACACACACACA